TGATTAATCAGCTTAAAATTGAAACAATTCAAAACTCAATTTGAGTGTACATAATTTTTTTTACTCATTTTAAACTTTAATTTAAATTTAAATTAATATGATACACAAAATTAAAAAAATGAACTAACTTGACTTAGTTTCCACTGATTTTAAAAAACTAACAACTTAATAGTTATTTAAAACCTAAAAAGATTGAAATAACCAAAAATTGAATTGAAATAATAACCCAATCAAAATCCATCATTTTTTATTCATCTTGTGTAACAATTAAAAGTTACTATTTAAACTTTTTTTCTGTCATATTTAATGTCTCATTTTTATTGTCTTTGTGGTAAAATTAGTTAATTAATTTTAAGAACATTTTAAAATTTAAATTACAATTATAAGTAATTTGAGCATACTTCTTTTTTATTTGTATTTAAGATGATTTGAATCCAATTTTTTAAACAAAAAGAAATATATACCAATTTTTAAATAAAATTTGCTTAGGTGCATAAGTGAATAATTAAGTATAGTCTAAATAAAAATAGATGATAAAACTTAACTCAACCTAATTGATCCATCATCTTAAGTCTAAACCTCTACTTAAAATTATGAAAAAAATTCAAAATTATTGAAATGGTAAATACATAATTAAATAAAGATTTATTGAATGAAATTTGCTAATGAATGCCTTTAGTTAAATTATAATTTATAATAATATTTTGGCTAAAATATTAAAAAAGTTTTAAAACTATTTCACTTCTTGAAATAAGCTTTTATACTTTTATTATACCAAAATAAGTTTTCATCTTTTGATTTGTATTTAAATAAGCCCTTATTTCAAACAAAAAATTGATTTATGTGAAATATTAATTTAGGTAAATTAAAAATTAATTTTTATTTGGATACAAATTAAAGTTTAAAAGGTTATTTAAGTGTAAATGAAAGTTAAAGGGTTTATTTGGATGCAATAAAATTATATAAACTTATCTAAGTAAAGTGATAAAGTTAAAGGTTTTTTTTATAAAAATTTTAGCCTAATATTTTTTATATTAAATTTAATAGCGATAATTAATTTAATGAATTTCAATACTTTTGAATAAATATTACTTAATATGTAACATTGAAAATTGTAATACAATAGTGAACATTGTTCAATTAATACAATGGAACAAATGAAGGAGTATACAATGTTTTTCCTAATAAAAGAGTTCATATTAGTTCTAAAAAATTGGAAATCAATATATTTGTATATTCTTTATTGAAATATTATATAGCACTGACCTTATTTATCATATAAAAAAGATAGAATTATGTACAGTCAAATTTTCATCTCATTTTTTGCTTGGCATAATCTTTTATTGGTTCTTTCATTGATTGAATGTAATTTTACATTCTATCAATTGAAAGCTGAATCTTTTTAGTTGAAAATTTTTATTAATTAAAAATATTAAAATACATCATTTTAGAAATTAAAATGAAATAAAATAAATTTCTAACCTTGGTACTTGTTATATTTTTTCTTAAGAAAATTTTAATTCTCAAATTAATAAATTTGTTACATAGCACCTATACAACTTATAATTATTCCATTTTCAATAATAACAAAATTTTTTTTTTGAATGAATGTAACATTGACGGTGACAAAAAAAATTGTAATATTAGTATAAATACATTTAAAATATGGTTCCAATAATTTTTGTCACACTTTAAAAAAATTCACCAAAAATAATTAATCTTATTTCACTTAATAATTCTCTAATTAGAATAATTATATTAAGAAATCAATCACTTTTAACACTTTTGCATATTAAGAAATAACTATATTTACCTATATTGAAATGAACAATAAATTCATTGTTAATACTATTAATTGACTTGATCTCGATGATCAATGCTAGTTAGAAGCATATTACCATGTAAGTAAAAAGTCTTGCATGAAAGATATGTTTTATACATATATATATATATATATATACATATGTATATTTCTTAAAATTTAGTGATACAATTTAATAAAGAATTTAGTTAGCTTTTGATATGTTTTTTTTAAGTTTAAATTAAATAAAATTTAATTATATATAAAAATAAATTTATAAAATAGGAAAAAATAATGAAAAGAATATTGTTTAAAGGTAGATTTTTTTTATCAAACCTCTATTTTAATTGTAAGATACACTTATTTTTTTTTAAAATTATAACAAATTCAATATGACATGAAAATCAATAACAAAATTATTAAAATAATAGTAATAAGAAAATATGTTTAATAATAATAATAATAAAAGTTTAATAATAAAAAAATATTTAAATTAAAATTTATTAAAAATTTAATAAATGAGAATTTAATAATAAAAAGTTAATAATAAAAAAATCATTTAAAGTAAAATTTATTAAAAATTTTATTAAGAGTATTTAGTCACTTTTAATTCTTTAGAAATTAAAATATTATTGAAGGTATTTTAATTGATCACTTTCAAATTTTTGGAGTTCAAATTTTTATACATAAAGATAATATATTTATTAAAGAATTCGAACTCGGAAATAATAATTAACGTTACATTGAAGTGAATTTATACGGTTTTTATGGTAAGGTCTCATCTCACATCAACCATCATGGGGTATGTTTAGTTGCCTGTCTTGTTCCTCTTGAAGTACTCTCTTTGAAAAGTCGTCACACTTGACAATGTTTTTAGCAACCAAACGAGTGTCACAGCAAGAGAGAGAGCTTCATGCATGTCAACAACTGCAATGGGGAATTCAGACTGATTATATTCAAACATTAACCATCATGTAACTAATTCATAAGGTATTGTACATTTTAATTTATTAAATCTTATGATTTTATTTCATAAAAAAATCTTATAAATTAAAGATATTATAAATATTTGTATTCCAATACAAACTCTAATACACAATTGACATGTGATTTATAATTTTTTTTCAAATTATAACAATTATTTTTTGTGGTGAATTACAGTGCATGGATTTAAAGCTATTAACTAATTGCCTCGAAAGCTTTTCGGTCCTTTTGGGAATTTGATTAGAAGACTCTCACTACAACAGAAGATACATTTTATAATTGAACTCTTACCATCCCATGCTGGGAGTTAAAGGTGAGCATTAATCAGTTTTATCTGAATAAATAGATGAAAAATCAAAATTTAATTAAATTAGATTCAGTTTTATTAGGTTTTTTGGTTTTATCAATTAGAAGAGTAGATTTATCGGTTTAATTGATCAGTTTATGGTTTTGCATTTCATAAACCGAACCGACAAGAAAACCGAACACCCATTTACTCAACAACCATTGTTGTTATAAGTCCCTAGATTTCCTTCCTTTCTTTATCTTCCTCTCACATGCCGTTCAGCCCTCACCTCACGCCTGTTTGCTCTTTCAACCCTCATGCCTCTCAGTTTATTTATTTGGCAAGAATATTTTATATCTAAAGCAAAGCAATGAAAGAAGTCAGCAAATCAAGATTTCAATGATGTTGTTGTCACTACACTGCTTGCTAGTTTCAAATTTCTCAGCACATGTAGGGATGGGAATTCAACCCGACCCAGACGGGTTTTGATTTGATCCGACTTTATGAGATCGGATTTTTTTTTTAATTTTCGGTTTCGGGTCGGGTCGGATCGGATAATATTAAAAAATAATCGGGGTCGGGTTTGAGTCGGGTTTTAGGCATACCCGACCTGATATTATTTAAAAAATTATTTTTTAATTAATTAATTAAATATATTTATATAATAATATTTTTAAATATTTATATTTAAAAAATAATATTTTTTTTAATTTTGGATCGGATTGGATCGAATTGGGTACGAATTATATAATATCGAATTCAAGTCGAAATCAGATATAAAAAAATAAAAAAATTTCGAATCGAATTAAATTCAAATTTATTGATAATAAAATCGGATCGAATTCGAAGTGAGCAAAACTCACACCGAATTCGTCCCGATGCCAACCCTAAACACATGTGAGTCTTGAGGCTACAACACAATTTGCAGCAACCACTACTTGGGCTATAGAGTAATTGCAGTTACTTTTGATTTGACTCGTGGTGGTTCTGTACTTGTTGGAGTTATTGTTGAAGGTACTTGTTTGATCTTTTAAGTTAATTTTTGAAATTTCTTGCTGATCCCATTCAAACCTGACGTGTAATGTTAGATTGATTTATTGTTTCTATTTTTTGAAAAATCTTGAAAATATAAATCCGTAGAAATTCTTTTTACGGATTGATTGTTATCCTTTATCTACAACGTACAAAATTGAAAATGATTTTCTGTTTTGAAAAGTCATATGATGTATGTGAAAGGGTGTTGGGTTTGGTTTATTTTTGAATGTATTGTCTGTATTATTTAGTCTTCATGCGATTTTAAAACTAAAAAGAATTCAATGGGCTAACTTTGTTGTGCATAATTTGGTGAAGTAATTTGGTGTGTTTCAAACAAAAAAAAAACCAAAAAAATCAATCCATTTATTTTGATTCGGTCTTTTTTTAATTTTATTCCTTAAATCGGTTGATTCATTTTTTTAAAAAAATAAAATCGATTTTTAAATTTTTATAATCGAATTAGATCGATTCTCAACCTTATTGCGAGCACTTACTCAGGCTCCTAAATAAAGCCTTAGTTTAGAGCCACAAATTTCAGATTTGAAACAGATTATATATGAAGCGCCATTTGGACAGCCAATCCAACATTTAAACGGGGCTCAAAGTCTCTTTGAATGCGTTGAGTGTTGGGTTAGATCCATGAACAAAGATATTCAAGCTTGGGCTACATCTTAAAGTAGCCCAAACAATAATATTTCCATAATGTTCTCATATCATAAAATCTGATCCGTTCATATCCACTAGGTTCCACGATCCACACGCGGCATAGGATTCCAATACTTCTCTTACATAACGATGAAAAAAATTTAGTTTCACTTTCCCACTTCGACTCGACAGCGCTGCAACACCAATTAAAACCCGCCGTCAACCAAAAAAAAAAAAAAAAAAAGCCCCATGGCCATCGCCGCCGCCATTTCCCTCTCTCTCCCACAACAAACCCGTCGTTTCTCCGTCACCATCGCCCCGTTTCGATCAATTTCTTCTCTTCGTTTCGATTCTCTCCGTTCCAATCTTTCTCTTAAAACCCCCAACTTTCGAGTTTCCGCATCTTCCATGAGCATCGGAACTCCCGAGAAAATCTCCACGACGTCGTTTCTTGACCGAAGAGAAAGTGGATTCCTTCACTTCGTTAAGTACCACGGCCTCGGGAACGACTTCATTTTGGTACTTTCTCTTACCCATTTCTCATTAGCAGAGAAAAATGTGGGAGAAATTTGACTTGTCTTTTGTTGGAATAGGTTGATAATAGGGACTCGACGGAATCGAGGATTACGCCGGCGCAAGCGGTGAAGTTGTGCGATAGGAACTTTGGTGTTGGAGCTGATGGAGTGATTTTTGCTATGCCTGGAATCAACGGCACTGATTATACTATGAGAATCTTTAACTCTGATGGTAGCGAGCCTGAGGTAATTAGCTTTTTCTTACTCATAAGTTGCTAAAATGTAGATACTAGTAAGTATATTTGATTTAAAATTGAACAAAAAGTCAAATGTAATGCACGTTTGAACATAGTTGTTCTGGATAAAAGTATAATCGCGGCTTTAAAAGAATTTATATATGGGTATTTAATTATTTGAAATGTTACTTATTTGCTTTTGTATCCGAATGCTCTTTTGCCTTCGCATTTGGAAGCTAAAAGCAAGTAGTGAAAGTAATAACCAGATAGAACCTTAGTGTTTGAATTATTGACATTGAATATCGAGTGGTCTTGCCTTACGTGTGTTTGCTTGTGTGTGTGATTAGGGTTTTGGTTAAGTTTTTAATTGATATTTGTTCTTCTAGATGTGTGGTAATGGGGTGCGGTGCTTTGCCAGATTCATTGCTGAGCTTGAAAGTTTACAGGGGAAGCATAGGTATGGTTAAGGGCTTGTTTTCTATTTTCCTGACATTTCGTACTAGAATGTTGCCTTGTGTGTTTGTTTGAAGGTGCTGCGCTCATATATTTTATTTCCTTTGCATCTAATTGCAAAGTTTATAACATTATATTTTCCATGATGATTTTACTACCAAAAATGTCATAGTTTTGTTCTCTGTTTTATTTTATGCAGTTTTACCGTGCATACCGGTGCTGGTTTAATTGTTCCAGAAATTCAAGATGATGGGAAGGTATGTTATTTGAATCCTGTATGTTACTGTTTATCTGTGCTGATTAATGCATCTGACATTGAGTGACACTATTTCAGGTTAAAGTTGATATGGGTGAACCAATTCTTAAAGCATCAGATGTTCCTACAAAATTACCAGCAAATAAAGATCAATCTGTTGTTAAATCAGATCTTAATGTAGATGGAGTGATTTGGAATGTGACTTGTGTTAGTATGGGAAATCCACATTGTGTAACTTTTGGCACCAAAGGAAGCCAGGTTTGTATTCCAGATGATATTGATAATAAGACTAACCTAGGGTTTATATTTATATGAACTGTTCCTAGTTATACTTCCTCCGCAATATTTGAAAATTATCTTTCTTTTCTGTGTATCTGATAAACTATTTGACTTGATTTACATGGCTTATAGCAGAAGAGAAGACATCTATCCCTGTGCCAAAATTTTCTTGGTGGATCAATAATGTACATAGGCTTGATGATCATAACTATTTCCTCATTGCATGCTCCAAGAGAAGAAAAAGACTAGGAACAGTTAAAAGAGCTGCTCTCTTTTGCCAATCTTGTGCAATAATAACAAGCATATTCATAAAACATCTTTTACTTCCACTGAATTACTTGTTGTAAAAGAAAATGGATTCATTGAATGATTATTGAAATATATATTTTCTGTTTTCCTTTCTCTTTTCATTTGCATTTCTAATACTTGTCTTTTACTTAACGATTGTTATTGAGCAGAATTTGACTGTTGATGAACTAAATCTAGCAGCAATTGGTCCTAAATTTGAGCATCATGAAATGTTCTCAGCTAGGACTAACACAGGTTAGTTGTTACCTAATCTCTGAGATGATCTTTGCAATAAATTCCATGGCTAACATCTGTTAGCAGCTTCATGCTTTTTGTATTTCACAAATTGGTGTTTCTATTGCATGGTTGTTATTTATCTCCTTCTGCTAAGCCAGTCTGTCGTCTAATCATGAATGTGTTTTATATGATTAGAATTTGTGGAAGTTTTCTCTCGTTCACATATGAAAATGCGTGTTTGGGAGCGTGGAGCAGGTTAGCTATAATTACCATGTACTTATATAAAATGAGCTATCATTATGGGTTAGTTTTTGTTCAGGCTAAAAACTCAAGTCAATTGCATTTCATAGGAGCAACACTGGCTTGTGGAACTGGAGCTTGTGCTGTGGTGGTCGCAGCTGTTCTTGAAGGACGTGCTGGGCGGGTGAGTGCATGACTTGATGTTGTTTAAATTGTGTTAATGGAATGGACAATATGCATATGCACATGAGATGGGACATTAAGGTAGTTTCATCTTGAAGTTGTTAACCTAGGTTTCCAAACTACTGTTCATGCTACATCTTTGCATCTGCCTCTTGTCTATGTTTTCCTCTCAACTGACAATTCGCGTTGTGAAATAGAGTTGCACGGTTGATTTGCCCGGAGGACCATTGGAGATTGAATGGAGGGAGGAAGACAACCATGTGTACATGACAGGCCCAGCTGAAGTAGTGTTTTATGGAGCAGTGCCACTGTGACAAATCTAACGCTAAACCAATTTTTCATGATGGAGAGAACTCATTTACTAAATGAATTCTGTTGAAATATAAGACAAATGGTAGGCTTTTGAATGTGGACATTCTTTTTGGTTCTATGTTTAAGAATGTCAGTGGTATGCATGTTTGTCCAAAAAAAAAAGGATGGTTGTGATTAAATGTAAAATTCCTACTTAAGATCACAACGGTGATTAGGGATTTAATTAAGATTTGGATTCATAAATGATGCCTAAACTGGGAAAAATTAATTAACCAAATGAAGTTCGTAATGAAAGTTTAGAATACGGGAAAGTTACCCAAAGTACAGATGACAGCTCTGATCATCGTAGCGTCTTAATTGAATAGTCACGCCAAGGTGCCCCGAACTTTTTTAAATAAAGGCCATGTGTTCCAATGGCTAAGATCACCCCCGGTAGCCGTTAGAAAGCATAAAGGTTTCTCTTTTCTTTTTGTAAAAAATAAAATGAAAAGAAAGGGAAAAACCAAATTTTAACTTAAGAATGTCGATATTATTCGTATTCAACAGAGAATTTAATTTTTAATCCAAATAAAAATAAAATAAATATTATATTATAGATATAAAAATAAAAATAAATATAATTTTAAAATTTTATTAAATATGAAAATGAAAACGAATAATATAATATCTATCACATATTCATATTCTATTTATATATTTTTATATATTTAATAAATAAAATATTTTATTAAATAATATAAATTATTATTTTAAATTAATTAAAATTAATATATTTTATTGATAAAATATATGTTAATAAAAATTATTTAAATATATGAGATAAAAATAAAAAATATTAAAAAAATAATTTTTTTATTTTTTTAGAAGGTTATAGATATAAAGATTATCAGGTCCATTAAAATTTTGAAAATATAAAAATAGATAGATTTAAAATATTCATAAGGTATAAATATGAGGATATATATATAATATAAAAATCCAAAAACAAGATCCCACCTTCACATATATTTTCAGTTTTTCACTCCTACAAAGATAATCAAAAAGAAAGGAAAGAAAGGACGATCGAAAGAAAAAAGATCTTTGCATCTCACTTATTCTTCCGATTCTACTTCAATTGAGAAAAGAACTGCGGTAAGATTTTATTTTGAGTTTTTAATAATTTTCAAAAACTTTTTTCCGCTTCATTGATCATTGAACGATTTGATCAGGTTTTAAAAAAATTTGAACTTCAAAACACAAAGAAATGATGTCACTCACCTCAGATCAGTTTAGAAAAGCAGGGATGGGAGGATTAATAACATCTCCATCTCCTTTCTTCACTTCTCGCCCCGAACGACGTCGTGCCAACTCGAGAGTTACCCGATTGGAGCTCTAATCGCCAAGATAGATACAAAGAGGTTAATGTTCAAGTGCTGCTTAGATGCAGTTATTTTTATTTTTATTTTTATTTCATTTACTTATTTATCATTGAATGAAAATTTTTTATTTAATTTAATTCAGTATATTCTTTTGCTTGATGATTATGGTTTTAGGCCATTAAGTGGAGATGAGCAGAGAATGAATGTTCCGAGATCGATTTCGTGTAATGAACATAAAAGGGAAGTTACAGTTTTGCAAAATTTAGCTAATCAGCAAGTAGACAGAGCTTTCACTTTTGACAAGGTAAAGCTCCTGCCCCGCTTTTATGAAAATGCCTACCATTTTTTTTTGGCAAGATGATTTATTGGATTCATTGAAGTTCACAGTTTTATTTTAATTTTATTTTTTTGCAAGGTTTTTGGCCCAAAGGCACAACAAAGAACAATTTATGATCAAGCTATTGCGCCAATTGTTAATGAAGTACTTGATGGTTTCAATTGTACCGTCTTTGCCTGTGGACAGACTGGCACTGGCAAAACATGTAAGATGGAGGAAGCTGAAGAGAAGGTAAACTTCCATTTTTCTCTTTAATGCTCTTTTTATTTAGTTATGATTTGTGACTTACTCCAAAATAGGTGATTTCCTCCAATTAGAAGAAAACTTGACTTTTAGTGTCAAAGATTGATCTTCACTCTTTATGTAGGCTAAAGGTGATTGATTTGAATTTTTACTTATATAACCTTGCAGGCAAGGATGGAGAAGATAAAGCAACTGGGGAATGATCTCAATCTTAGTGAGAAGGTATAATTCTCACACATTTGTACCTTCATTCTTTTCTTACCATGTTATATTTATATTAATTCTTCATCTTCTTTATGCAGCATGCTGACAAGTATAGTCAGCAGTGTCTCACTGAAACAAAGGTTGGACTTAGAAAGTGACCTTAAGGATTTTAGCTTGGCTGGAAACATACATATTTGTTGTCTTAATTCTGGACGATTCCCTGCTCATAAATTGTTATTTGTTCTCCAGATAAATCTTGAAAAGAATTGCTTGATCTTCAAGAGAACCACAGGGCAGCCATCTTGACTGAAGGAAAAGGAATATATCATCTCCAATCTGCTATGCTCAGGTGCAGAGTCAAATGTTGGAAGAGTTTCATTGTCTATATTTTTTGCTTACTACAATGGCAATTGTTTTATATTAAAAGAAAATTCTTTGATCACGGGCTTAGAAGTTACTTACTGATTTGCAACATGCATCAGAGGACATAAACTCACTTTTTGCCAAACTTGGTATAATAACTTCTCTATGGTTTTTTGACGTTCACGATTGTATATTTGATGAACTGTCATTGTATGGATTCTATATCTTGTTAGTTAATTATATTATGTCATTTCATTAATAAGTAAATATTAGCTCTTAAAATAAATATATAAAAAATTAATATATTTTTTAAAAAATTTACTCATTAATGAGGTTGTATCATTTGATTTACCTCATTAATGAGATAACATTATCCGATTAATTGACAATGTATACACTGATAATTCATTAAATATAAATTTTAACTTTTTAATTTATATTTGATGCACTGTCAGTATATAAAAATCTATACACTTGTCAGTCAATTAGATAATGTCAATTTATTAATAAATAAATATTAGCTTTAAAATAAATATACAAAACATCAATATTTTTTAAAATACATATTCATTAATGATGTATTATCATTTAATTCATTTTATTTACTGTAAAATAAAATAAATGGCATTACAGAGTGATTGATAGTGTATAATAGTATATCAAATATAATAGATTATATACACTATCAATCATTCAGATAATATTATTTTATTAATGATGTAAATAAAATGATACATACCATCACTTCTAATAAAAAAAACCTCGTTGCTTCCAATCAAATGTTTGTAAGGAGATATAATATGATGTTGCATCTGCCAGACACTTTTGCAAACCATATTTCATACTTTGGTCCAACATGTGCAGTTGGCCCAATGGTGTGGGCAGCCATGAGTTCACAAAAAAGTGAAAATGCTCCTTTACATGAAAGGTGTGGGTGGATCAAACTATAACAACTTGTGTAAAGATATATCCCATGAAATGAGATCTGAAACAACACTAGTAGCATATGAGCATTAAAAAATACTAAAAAAAAAAAAGTGTTTATGAACCCATTTACTACCATTTTAGAGGCCTTAAATATGTTCTTTTACTAAGCACAGATGGTAAAGACAAGATGGAGGTAGAAAATCGAAACATCATTTTAACATTTGGTTCTCAGCTTGATCAGCATTTAAAATATTTGCAAAAGACCATCTTGGGCTCTATTTCTCAACAGCACCAACAACTTAGATGCAAGGAAGAGCATGCTCATACATTTCTTCCCAATAAATGTGATGCAAGAGTGGAAAAATGTTGCCCTATCTTACTCTAGGCATCAAGCTCACTACAAGAAAATAAGTTTTTGGTGACAATTTTTTAGCCGCGTTTCCCTACAAATACTGCAAGCTTTCATGTTTTCACAATTATGGCGGCATTTGTTAAACAAACGCCACTAAATTTGAAAACAGCAGCATTTATAAAATCAAACACCAGTAATCATTACAATTTTGTGGCATTTGAACAAAAAAAAAAAAAAACTCCGTTAGAAAAATCCTTGAATTTTATTAAATAAAAATATAATTATTTACAGACGTTTCACTAAGAAACTTCGCTAGTTTTCTTTTTACAAACTCACGGGGTTTGGGCTTTAAACGCCACAAAATCATTTTATAACGGCATCTATGGTATTAAATGTCATTAATCGTTCAGCATTTACGGCATTTGTAGAGGGTAGCGTCGCTAAATTTAATATTTAGTCCGTTTGTGGGCGTTTGTTCCCACAAACGCCACTAAATAATCTCCTTAAATATGAAATTTGGACCCCTAAAACACTTATGTTCTAGCTTAGACTTTCCATTTGTTCAGAGCCTAGCTTAGTTCCAGCTTAAACTTTCCATTTCTTCTTTTTTTCCTTTCGAATTTTAAGCAGATATTTTTAAATGGCCACCTTCTTCCATAGCCACCTTCTTTGGTTGAACACCACCGACCAACCCTTTTTGGTATGTTTTACCTCTGCCAACTGTTTTTGGTATGGGTCATTGATGCTTGTTTTTTTCCAAATTTCCCTTTTTCTTTTCTCTGTTTAAGTAATAGATGGTTGAGCGCATGAAACACTAGCATTGAAATATATGTTTAGTTTTGGGCAATGGGTAAAATTGGAGACCTCGGCCTCAGGTAGGCATGGTGGTTTTGGGTGGCACGTGATCTATTTTGGGGCAGGTGTTCCTTTGGCAAACTCCTAAATCAAGGGGTTTTTGGTTGGCTCAACCCAAGACCATTGCCTGCTGCCACTCGCTTATCATTTCTATTTTTTGCTTTACAAATAGAAATTATTTTAAATAATTGAAAGTGTTTTATTTTTCTGTTTGGTTAGTTAGAAAATTGAGGCAGGAAAGGCAAGTGATCACTCTAATTTTTTTTTATTAAAAAAAGGCTCTATGAAATTGCAATAGGTTATAGTAAGTTGAGGTGAACTTAGTTTGATGAATTTTTGTGATTATACTTTTTGTTTAACCTGTAGTTTAATGAAAATTACAACAACAGATGCAAAATAATGAATGAATATTTTGAACAAACCTTTCATAACTATTTATATAATTTTATATACACATGTACAATTTTACTAACCAACAAACATCTTTTAATGAATGAATATCAAATCAACTGTTAAAATTTATTTTAAACCATTTATAAATTGAAACCCAGCTATCCAGGAGGCTCAACATGTTAACTAGTCAACTAGCCATTATTTTGGTTGATAAAAAAATTTGTTTTACCACAAATTTGAACTTACTAAACCAATTGTGCCATCACTTTTTTTGTCAATAAGTTAATTTCAAAGGAAGATGGGATAAGAATATTTCCAACTTTCTCAAAAGTTGGAATAATTTTAAAATGAGGTGGGCTGGTGGATGTTTTATGTTTTTAGTGAGTC